GACCTAGGCATTGGGCTTAGGCTTAGGCTTAGGCTTTGGCTTGGCTTAGGCTTAGGCTTAGGCTTAGGCTTTGGCTTAGGCTTCTGGCTTAGCTTATTTGGCTTGGGCTTAGGGCTTAGGCTTAGGCTTAGGCTCAGGCTTAGGCTTAGGCTTTCTGGCTTAGGCTTAGGCTTTTGGCTTAGCTTTGGCTTAGGCTTTGGCTTAGGCTTGGGCTTGAGGCCATGCTACAACTACCGTAACACGGTCAAGAGTTTCATTACGATTACGGTAAATGCATGCTGCAACTACCGTAACCCGGTCTAGAGCTTCATTACAATGACAGTAGAAGGGTGTTACAACTACCGTAACCCGGTCAAGAGCTTCAGTTAAGATTACGGTAGAAGCATGCTGTAACTCACTGTAACCCGGTCTAGAGCTTCATTGCGATTACGAGTAGAAGCTAACCGAGTTACTTTAAACTTTCCTCCAACTACCCGCAACCCAAGCACAGGGTGTTCAAGAATTAAGGACACTCTTCTCTAGTGAGCAGCTCAGCCTAGAGTTAACCATTCCCCATAAAACCTCTTTGGTAGGAATTTACTGCTTATTTTACAACACTTCACTTTGATACTTTACTCAGAAACTCAAAATTAGCAATTTTATAGAACTTGAATTTCCAAAACTCGAAAGCCTTTGGACGTGGCTCCTTTGTGACCAGATTTCAACTTAAAAATTACTTTAATAATGGCTACCTGATCATGGATGAAACACTTCAGAATACTTAAATTAGAAATTAGAAAGCCTAAGTCGTTTACTTCCGTTTAAAGCCGTTTAAATAGTAATTCTTTAAGTTGAAAAGGTCACCAGGAGCCGTGTCCCAGAGGCTCTCGAATTTTAAAGATTTATGAACTACGGTAGATACTCGAGTTACTGTAAACAAGTGACGCTTTAAAGCATGCTCCAGCTACCTCCAGCTTCAGCTAACCCCAAGCTCTTACGGGCTACGGTAACCCTACTTGGGTTCCTGTAACATCTACTAACTGGATTACGGGTTACGGTAACTTTAGAGCGCTTCAGAAAGCTTCAGAGCGCTTCAGAGAGCTTTAAAGCGTTTCAGAGCGCTTCAGAAAGCTTCAGAGCGCTTTAGAGCGCTTCAGAGAGCTTTAAGCGCTTCAGGGAGCTTCAGAGCGCTTCAGAAAGCTTCAGAGCGCTTCAGAGAGCTTTAGAGCGCTTCAGAGCGCTTCAGAAAGCTTCAGAGCGCTTCAGAGAGCTTTAGAGCGTCTACTTTAGTCAAAGTTTAGCAAGGGTTTATAAATAAGGTTTAAGAAAATTGTTTAGAAAGATTTTCTAGCATAATCTAATGTTGATTTCTAACCGTTATCGGCTTTGTGCATCCCACGCATTTCACTTCTCGCAAATTGTGCGCTCCCAGTGTTTTCAGTAGACACAAACGGACATCATCACCACCTTGTGGGCAATCGTCTTCCATCTAGAAAAGTCGAAAAGTTGAAAAGAAAGGCTGAGCATCAAAATCGATTTTCAATCTGTTTCCAAACATAAGAAGGATTTACCGTATTTACTCTATTCCTCTCTAATAGTGGGACCCCCCAATAGTGGGGCCGTCTGGAGGGGGGTTGAAAAATAGTGGGGTCCTCTCTAATATTGGTAACGAAAGTGATACATCAATTGTTGATCTCTTGGATTAGTTCTTTTACTGTTTGTTAATGTTTTGTTACGGTTAAAGCTAAATAAAATATGAAGCCAAACTTGTTTTTTCAATAATTTCGGAGAAAAATTGATATCTTTTCAACTTAAAACTTTGGTTTTATGTTCTTTTAAATTTCTCTAATAGTGGGGTCCTCTCTAATAGTGGGGTCGTCTGGAAGGGGATTGAAAAAATAGTGGGGGACCCCACTAATAGAGTAAATACGGTAGTATAAATCATTGTTCGTTTTTTTAAATCATAAACAAAATATGCAAAAAAATTCTCACTTTTATGTGAATCCCATTGAATTTGTGTAGTGGAATGATGCTAAGGAGATTGTTGAAATTTTCGCGTCTTGCGAATACCGATCCATTTAGACGAACCTGGAGATGGAAATGGGTTGAAATGAGAGATTTCAATCGCTCTAATCTCAGCTAATTTTGAGTACTCAGGCAGCCAGCTAGAATCTAGCTCTGACCTAACCTAAAAACATGGCTTTAAAGAATACATTTATTCATTTAGATAGGGAAAAACTAATAATCTAGCCGGCAGGATTGAGCCTTCCGACTAAGATACAGTGCTCTTACAAGGGAACTTATAACACCTTATAACACCTTATAACACCTTATAACCTTATACGCTGAACACTGGCCTAAGTCTAAGCGTAAGCCTAACAAGGGAACCTTCCCAAGTTACCCACTAGTTACAATATGAGGTAGGTACCAAAAGAAAGGCCAGAAAATGTACGTTCAGAAACTGTTTTCAAAAACCGCTAATCGGCAAAGAGCACAAAGTTATTGCCATTTGAATTTCGAAAAATGAAAGCTTTTCTCGAATTTCTGACACACTGATTTTTGCCGGGGAAAAGGCTTTCCTTTCGCCATCCCAAAAGCCAGCTCGTAGCCTAGTAGTGTACCTGAGCTCGGAGCTCTTTGATCTTGATTCGGATTCACCAGCAGTCAAGCTTTTTAGCCAGTCGACCAGTTAGCCAGTCGACCAGTTAGCCAGTCGACCAGTTAGCCAGTCGACCAGTTAGCCAGTCGACCAGTTAGCCAGTCGACCAGTTAGCCAGTCGACCAGTTAGCCAGTCGACTAGTTAGCCAGTCGACCAGTTAGCCAGTCGACCAGTTAGCCAGTCGACCAGTTAGCCAGTCGACCAGTTAGCCAGTCGACCAGTTAGCCAGTCGACCAGTTAGCCAGTCGACCAGTTAGCCAGTCGACCAGCCAGCCAGTCGACCAGTTAGCCAGTCGACCAGTTAGCCAGTCGACCAGTTAGCCAGTCGACCAGTTAGCCAGTCGACCAGTTAGCCAGTCGACCAGTTAGCCAGTCGACCAGTTAGCCAGTCGACCAGTTAGCCAGTCGACCAGTTAGCCAGTCGACCAGTTGGCCGGTCGACCGGTTACCAGTCGGCGGTTGCCAGTCGCCGGTTAGCCAGTCGACCGTTAGCCAGTCGACCAGTTGCCAGTCGACCAGTTAGCCAGTCGACCAGTTAGCGGTCCCGTTAGCCAGTCGACCAGTTAGCCAGTCGACCAGTTTATTTTCTTTATTTATTTGCTAATTCTTTTCACTCACCGTTTCATCCTCAAAATACCAATGATTTTCGACGTTTTTCTTCAAGATTTCCGGATTCACGCAACACCTGAAAATTCAAGAATCAGTTTTTCCATCCAGATTCGATCCAGTAAAGTGATAATATTATCAAATCAATGTTTTAAATCTTATTGTACAAGTAGATATAATGTTGCGCTCTACAAAACGATCATTTTCTCAAATCCAAAAGAGTTAACGGCTTTTCGCATTTAGATATTTAAAAACTATGGATATTTTTTCACTAGATTTATGAGCTTTTGTAAAAATTGAAAACTTTCTTCGTTTCATGAGACTTTAAACGTGATTACTGCTCTTCAAAAAATAAAATTTGTCAAAAATAAGCCCCATTTTTGTCAGCCAAGATAATCTCGCATTTGCAATGATGCTCAAAAAGCTCAAAAAGCACTCATTTTAATTTTAATTAACTCTAAAAACGATTTAATACTGAAAAAGACCGAAAAAGATGATTTTTAGGATTAGGAGACATTTGATACGTGCCCCGCCCCTTTTGCCATTGGCAATCTAACTTTGAGCTCAAATTTCTTGGCTTTGGGTTGTCCAATTGAAATAGTTTTTATACCAATCGATAGAGAAAGACTTGGCAAATCTAATGATACCAAGGATATTGAAATTGGACAGCTCAACACCAAGATACTTGAGCTCAAAGTTGAGCCAATGGCAAAAGGGACAGGGCGCGTATCAAAGTCCTTCTCTGTAGATTGATACAGAAACTATTTTTCAAACTTTCAAATTCGACAAGATGTTTGAGTTTAAAGTTGGATTTTCAATGGCAAAAGGGATGGCGGCGCGTTTATCCCACCTTTTATACGTGCTCCGTCCCTTCGCCATTGGCTCAACTTTGAACTCAAATATCTTGGTGCTGAGCTGTTCAATTGAAATAGTTTTTGTACCAATCGACAGAGAAAGACTTGGCGCATCGAATGATATTAAGAATATTGAAATCGGACAGCTCAACACCAAGATATTTGAGCTCAAAGTTGAGCCAATGGCAAAAGGGACAGGGCGCGTATCAAATGTCTGATAACCAGTAAATAACTTTGTTGAAAACGACTAAACGCACCCTCTCTAGCACACTCGATGCTTCGGTTTTTATAGGCAAAACGAGAAAATTGAAGATTTTATGAGCCAAAAATGGTGCTTTTATCAGAGCACAAAGAACCCCAGTAAGTCTAAAGTAAAAGTCTGGATCCGAAAAGTGTTAAAGCAATTTTTTCATAGAAAATTATTCCCAAAAATCTCAAGAATTCTAGAATTTTTCCAGAAGAGAATCATTTGTCATTTCTACAAGTTAAAAAAAAGATTCCAGCAAAACAAGAAGATATTCAGGATAAAAAAGAAAGTCCCGAGTAAACAAGGGACTCAAATTTTTGTTTTTCATTTCTTTTTCATTTCAAATCCCCAATTGATCCCTGGGTATTATAAAATGCGAAAAAAAAAATGGAAATGAAATGCGGTGTTTACGAGGGAAAAGCCTTAAAAGAACTCTTTTTTCCCTTTTCCATTTGCAGTCAATTTGGAGCGGGGTAAAAGGGACAAAACATCAGCTGAGAGATGGGAAAAGACGGGGCAAAAAAAAAGATGTTGACCATTTTCTTCGTTCGTTCGTTCGTTCGTTCGTTCTATTTTTAGCCACTTTGCCATTGCAAAACATAGAAATAGACGATTTGAGAAGATTTTCTTTTAAAGCAGAAGAAAATAGATTAAGAACGCAAGAAAATGAGTTGTGCTCAAAAAAATTGTGCTTATCTTAAGCTCAATTTTTGTAAATGCCTTTCTAATGCACTCGATTCGTTTTTCTTTTTGAATTCTGAGAAAAATGAGGAGCTGAGTGTGATAGAAAAGGTGCGTTTAGACGTATTTCAATCATAAAGTACACTAAATTGGTTTTTGCGTACTTTGAGCTCCACTCCTTATAAAAGCACCCTTTAAAGGTACACTCAAACCTTGAAGGAACACTCAAACCTTAAAGGGACACTCAGAACTTAAATGGACACTCAGAACTTAAATGGACACTCAAATCTTAAAGATACACTCCAACCTTGAAGGTACACTCAAATCTTAAAGGTACACTCAAACCTTAAAGGGACACTCAAACCTTAAAGGGACACTCAAACCTTGAAGGTACACTCCAACCTTGAAGGTACACTCCAACCTTGAAGGTACACTCCAACCTTGAAGGTACACTCCAACCTTGAAGGTACACTCAAATCTTAAAGGTACACTCAAACCTTAAAGGGACACTCAAACCTTAAAGGGACACTCCAACCTTGAAGGTACACTCCAACCTTGAAGGTACACTCCAACCTTGAAGGTACACTCCAACCTTGAAGGTACACTCAAATCTTAAAGGGACACTCAAACCTTATCAAATCTTAAAGGTACATTCAAAACTTTCCATTCTCTTACAGGATCCCTTGTAAGAAAATAAAGCCTTAAGTGCACCAGAAAGGATGCATTTGGCTTACAGAATCAGAATAAGAATTGAATAAGAATAAGAATTAAATTCTCACCTCAATTCAAATTGTGGTTGCGCCTCGCGTTTTCCCCATTTTTTCGTGCTGGCCGTCGAGCCGCTTCGACGCCGAAATTCTTCACATGAATCTGAAAAATGCTTTCATTTTCTCATCAATTTTCTTTTTAACACTTTAGAATTTACATATTTGGGTGCTTGACGGTTAACGGGGTCAGTTAACGCTGACGTTAATCGTTAACGGGGAGTCAGCGATTAACGGAGAAGGCCAAGTTTTTGACCATTTTGCAACCCGATTTTAAACAGGTTTTTGTTCATAACTTTTGATGAGACAATTATTTTCTAAAAGTTGACATTCTAAGCTATTTAAATCTTATTAAAACTTTCTGATCTGACGAGTTTAAGGTGCTTAAAGATGAGCTGTAAGTTGGGTAAAAGTTGGCTAAAAGCTCGCTTCCTCCCCTCCAGTTAACCGTCAAGCACCTATGTTTGCATTTGAAATTTACATATTTGCCTGTTTCCAAATGAAAACACGTTTTGTTTAAGACTTCAGAAAATATTTTCAAGATTTTTAAAGATTAAATTCTTGAAAATTTTTAAGAGCAAGAGGATTTCAAAGCACCGTAATTTTCTAGTATCACATCTGACGAAAAATCGATTTCTCTGATCTCTTTTTCATGTAAATTGGTTAATTTGGTTCCAGGATTGAAAAAAAAATTGGCAAATTGGCGTTGGCAGTAAAATAAGAAATGTGATTTTTGAAAAGATTCAAAATATGTCTCTGGGGCGGGAGGGGTTTCGTCCGGTGGACCACAATTTCGTCCACTGGTGGACCGAACCGTCCCAGGGACCAGACGGCCTTCATCCACCGGTGGACCGAATCGTCTCAGGGACCAGACAGCCTTCATCCACCGGTGGACCGAACCGTCCCAGGGGCCAGACAGCCTTCATCCACCGGTGGACCGAACCGTCCCAGGGGCCAGACAGCCTTCATCCACCGGTGGACCGAACCGTCCCAGGGGCCAGACAGCCTTCATCCACCGGTGGACCGACAACCCTCCAGGGGCCAGACAGCCCTCCCCCGGGGGGCGGGCCGGGGCCAAAAGGCCCACACGGGTCAGACCACCGGTCGGCCCCACCGAATGGTCCCAGGCGCCAGACAGAGGCGGTTCCTCCACACGGTGGATCGAATCGTCCTGAACATGTTAAGAAAACGTTCTTAGAAACATTTTTCTTCACTTTTACACATTTTTTCTATGTTTTTAATCATTGAATTTGAATCATTTTGAATCAAGAACTATTGCTTGAGATAGTTTTTAAGAATTTTAAAATCTGGCGGACCTTTTTATCTATTTTTTTTAAGGCGGTCGATATTGGGTTTGAAGAATCGAAGATCATGATCTTTTATTAGAATAATTATGCTAATTTTATTATAAACACTTGAGTAAAAAGTGTGATTATAGAATAGAATTCAATTCGATTATTAAATGCAATTCATTTCTGATTCCGAACGTTTTCCAAAGCATCAACAAAACCAAAAAGGATTACGGTGTTATGAGAGAAATGTGGAAAAGAGAAAGAAAAAGAAAAAAAGAAAAAAAGAAAGGAAAAAAGAAAAAAAAGTGCAAAACTCGAAAACATTCGGATCAATTTGGGGAAAATTGTGATGAAATTGATGAAACTTTTCAAATCTTGATCTTGAATCTTGAATAGAACGATTGTCGGTGAAGTTTTGCTTTGTTTTATAAAAGGAATTTGTTGTTGTTGTTGTTAAACTGTTCTTTATGCTTAAAAGTGTAAACCCAAGCTTTCTGAGGCGCTGAAAAGCGCTTGAAAGCTTCTTCTTCTCATGAAAGCTTTCATTGGTACGAGAAAAATGGCCTTAATGCAATAGAATGGTCGGTTACGGTTCCAATATGGCAATACGGTTCCAATATGGTTCCAATACGGTTCCAATACGGTCCCTATTTTGATCTAATACGGTTCCAATACGGTTCCTATTTTGATCTACTACAGAAATGACTTTAATGCAATAGAATGGTCGTTTTTCACCGTTTTTAGCCGTTTTTCACCGTTTTTAGCCGTTTCTTGCCGTTTTTCGCCGTTTCTCGCCATTTTTTAAGCTCAAAATTGGTTCAAACTCGGGTGAAAACGTCGTTTTCGCCGTTTTTGAGCTTAGTCGAATTTGAGCGACTTTCAAACGCAAGTTCAAATCCAAATTTCAAACCCACTCACCTAAACTCTTTTTTCGATACGTGGCTACCTCGATCATAACGTGAAAATGAAGAAAAAAATTGGGAATTATCTCATTCAATGAAGAATTGAGAAGAATTGAGAAAAATATTCGGTTTGACTTGTTGTGGTAGAAGAATGAAGGAATGGGAAAATGGGGGAAAAGGAAAAAAAGGGGAAAAGGGGCAACGTTGTTTTCGTTTTTAAAAAAAACCGATAGAGTAGAGGTGGAAAAGAGAGGAAGGGGCGAAATGGGAATGGGGAAGAGAGAAAAGAGAGAAAAAAGGGGAAATGATCACTGAAAAGTCTCAACAACACCCGGCTGATCACCCCTACAAAGCCGAGCAATGAAGTTTTTCGTTTGTGGAAGAGATTGCTCGTTGATGGAACATTTTGGTGGAACATTTTGATCGAACACATCACATTTGATAGATGTCAGTGAAAAGTCTAGACATTTGCTGAGCTTTTTTGACCGATGCTTGAAATTGGAGTTGAGCTTTTTGGGCTTTTTAAAGGACTCGAACTTTCGAAAAGTGTCATAGCTACATCCAAATCAACCATCACCTAGCGTAGTTGAATCTAAATCTATTCGAATTTCGCCGTAATCGACTCCAAATCAACCGTAATCCATCGTAATCCAATCTAAATAAACTGTAATCTACCGTAATCTAATCCAAAACAGCCGTAATCCATCGTAATCCACTCCAAATTGATTGAAAGTTACCGTAATCGACTCCAAATCAACCGTAATCCATCGTAACCCAATCTAAATCAACCGTAATCTACCGTAATCCAATTTAAATTAAGGTAATCCACTCCAAATTGATTGAAAGTTACCGTAATCAACTCTAAAACAGCCGTAATCCACTGTAATCTAATCTAAATTCATTGAAAGTTCCCGTAATCCACCCCAACCCAACTCGACTCCAAATCAACCTTAATTCAGCGTAATCCACTCCAAATTGATTGAAAGTTACCGTAATCCACTCCAAATCAACCGTAATCCATCGTAATCCAATCTAAATCAACTGTAATCTACCGTAATCCAATCCAAATCAACCGTAATCCATCGTAATACAATCCAAATCAACTGTAATCTACCGTAATCCACTCCAAACCAACCATAACCTACCGTAATCCACTCCAAAACAGCCGTAACCTACCGTAATCCAATCTAAATCAACCGTAATCTACCGTAATCGACTCAAAATCAACGGTAATCCACCGTAATCCACTCCAAATTGATTGAAAGTTACCGTAATCCACTCCAAATTAACCGTAATCCATCGTAATCCAATCCAAATCAACCGTAACCTACCGTAATCCAATCTAAATTAACTGTAATCTACCGTAATCCACCGTAATCGACTCCAAACCAACCGTAACCTACCGTAATCCACTCTAAATTAACCGTAATCTCCCGTAATCAACTCCAAATCAGCCGTAACCTACCGTAATCCAATCTAAATCAACCGTAATCTACCGTAATCGACTCAAAATCAACGGTAATCCCCCGTAATCCAGTCCAAATTGTTTGAAAGTTACCGTAATCAACTCTAAAACAGCCGTAATCCACCGTAATCTAATCTAAATTCATTGAAAGTTCTCGTAATCCACTCCAATCCACGTAATCCACCTCTACACTAAGGCACCGTAATCTACCGTAACCCCAATACGTAATCCCAATAGTTTGAGTTTTGCTCTACAAAATGACACGAAAGTCATCAAAATCGGCTCACTAGTTTTGGAGATACAGGCACGCAAAGTGAGGCGAGTTTGGTTCGGATTCGAACGTCACATAGATAGTAGATATACACTGTAGTCGATCGTAATCTATCGGAATTAAGCAATGTCTTAATCTACAGTAATCTACCGTAATCTACAGTAATCTTCTTTGTTATATCTTTTGATATTCTTTATCAAATCCTCACAAAGCTGACCAACTTACAGGGTGACCAAGAATTACCGCAACAACGTCGTATTATGTTATGAGCCTCGTTTCACTTTTTGCTTACCTGTTTTTATGGTTTTTGTCTATTTTTCTTATTTTATGGTATGATTACTAACTTTCAATACTTTCAATTAGTATGGTTGTTTTCAGGAATGGTGAAAGCGTCTCCACATCGACAATCGATTCTTGAGCTCAAGCGGCAGCGTGTTCAGGCGAGCGAGATCTCAGAGAGAACGAGATCTTTGCCTGGATGTCCCCAGAAGCCTCGTTTCTCGAACCATTCAACGTTATGAAACTCTGGGCACAGTTTCTGATCTTCTGATCTTCTGATCGCCCTGGAAGAGGTGCAAAACGAACAGCGTTTACTCCGGCTAATGTCAAGAAAGTGCGCGATCGTCTAAGATTAAACCCTAACCAATCGGTTCGAGGAATGGCACAGAAAATGAGGCTGAAGAGAAGCCCCGTCAACACAATCCAATTTATATTGAAGAAAAATTCAAGGCAAGATTACAGCTCTTTTTACTTAAACACATCCATTCTGGTGTGCTCAAATGTTTCAGCTTTAAATCACTTCCATCAGCTTAGAGTTTTGTTTGTTTGTTTGCTTGTTTGTTTGTTTGCTTGTTTGTTTGTTTTCTTGTTTGTTTGCTTGCTTGTTTCTTTGTTTCTTTGTTTCTTTGTTTCTTTGTTTGCTTGTTTGTTTGCTTGTTTGTTTGTTTGTTTTCTTGTTTGTTTGTTTGTTTGTTTGTTTGTTTCTTTGTTTCTTCGTTTCTTTGTTTCTTTGTTTCTTTGTTTCTTTGTTTGAATTTGTTTAAATTCGTTAAAAAACAAAAACCCTATCAATCACGATAATATTTTGGTTAATTGTTGTGCCCTTTTGTTTACAGATCCCCTCAGAAGGGACCAGGTCATCAACATCAACTCTTTTAGCAAAAGCACTCCTTTGTTTTGATGTTTTGATCATTTTTGATCATGTACACAGAATAATCTTTGCAAATGTCAATAAAATTTTCGGAAGACATCAAAAAACAGAAGTTTGAAGATTCAGTTTTGCAGAGAAATGCTTTAATGCACCAGAATTGATGTGCTTTCATTTTTGAGTATAAAGTGCTCACAAAACTGATCAATGTATGCTATGCTACAGTTACAGTTACAGTATGGATAAAAATCTAAACAAAATACCGTAAATATTCGAATAAAAGAGCCGCCTATAGGAGCGTCGTGTAGTCTAAGTTTACACTCAAACAAACGCTCATAGCGCGACACCAGTGCGTCTGTTTCCACGCGCTTAGGTATCAAATTAAAGTAGAGAAGATGGGTGATTTTTTGAGATATAAGCCAGATTTTTAGCATTAACCAGCGCTTAGAACAGAATGATTGAAAAGAAGCCCCCTATAGGAGCGTCGTGTAGTCTAAGTTTACACTCAAACAAACGCTCATAGCGCGACACCAGTGCGTTTGTTTCCACGCGCTTAGGTATCAAATTAAAGTAGAGAAGATGGGTGATTTTTTGAGATATAAGTCAGATTTTTAGCATTAACCAGCGCTTAGAACAGAATGATTGAAAAATTATGAAAAATCACCTTTTTTTGCCACTGCCTTATTACCGCCATGTTAACTCCGCTCCTTTTTCAGTCCATTTGCCATTGGAAATCTACGAATTTTGCTTGTAACTTGACTGGGTTTGTTTGAAAAAGGTTGAATTTCCTTTCATTCGATAGAAAATTTGATTTCAATTCGAATGATTTTAATTCGAATGCGTTTAAACGATTAAACTTTAGCAAATTTCGATTTTTCTTGTCAGCAAATCATCTTAGGTTTTCATTTTTTGAATTTTAATATAAAAGTTCATGTGTAGGTGAGGGTTTGAAGTGGAAAATAGATTTATGCTCGCTGTTTTGCCCTGTTGTTTTCGTGGTTTTTCCGCCGATTTCCCCCCTTCTTTTTCGTTCCTTTTTTCCCCCTTTTTTCCTTTTTTTTCTTCTACTCCATGCACTTTTATTGAAAACACCGATCTTTAGATTTGAGCCGCTCTTTCGCTTGTTTATTCACTCTTTTCTAAATTTTTTTTGTGGGTGTGTGTGTGTTGCCCAAAAACGCAAAATAAAGTCCACGAATTTTTTTTTCAGTTATCAATTCTGTTTGATGTTGATGTGACTTTCGAGTTTTAAAATCTCAATCATTTCATGAGAATTTAATAGATAGTGGGATCATAGAATTTAGTAGACAATGATACAAAGTGAAAACGAAATACAGACAATTTTTCAAGCTTTTAAAGATCTTCAGCTTTTAAAGATCTTCAGCTATTCAGCTATTCAGCTATTCAGAGCATTAACAATGAGAATTGAGAAATTTGTTTACTTGCAAATGAATCAGGTATCTTTTTGCAAAAGAATCTTTTTCACCGCCGGAATCTTTCGACGAAAACAACGCGTCGTGTTTACGAAAATTTCGTTTTCACGGGAAAATGCAAAGAGTTTCTTGCAAATTGAAGTTTATATATATATGTCGCAGCCGCTCGTGACTTTCAGCCGCTAGTGATTCAATTACCATCGGCTAGCCGATGGTGATTGTCATCATCAGTTCAAAGAGATTTTCCTTGAGGAAAGGAAAACGATCTGGACATCCTCTACAACGTTGGAAGAACCGAATAAATGTAACGAGTGATCATCAAGGAAAATCTCTTTGAACTGATGATGAAAACACACAAGGATCATAAACACGCAGGACGGGACATAATGTGGAAAGCACTGAGGGAATATCATGGAATATCGAAGGATGTCATCGAGATTTTTATCAAAGGAGAAATCATTTCGCTCAGCAGTAGGCGCTGAATCTCTCACCGGATCTCAAAGTAATTTTTTTGTAGCGTTTGTTTAATTGCTTTCGTTTAGGCCACAAGCACTGTAAGTGTACAAATGGATGCGTAAATGGCCGATGTGTATGTCTCAAGTCGAACATTTTATGCAACAGTCGATGTCACAACAGCAATCCCTGCTCAAACAAGTAACATTTAGTTAGTTATTTTTTTAGTTAAACTTGATTTTCTTGTCTTACACCTTAGGGAAGTTAATTAATTTTTTGTTGTT